TGTTGGTGTGACTCTGGTATGCTGGTGTGATGTTGGTGTGACTCTGGTATGACTCTCAACATAACATAAAATCTGTGTTATATCAACCCTTATTCGTGTACTATCTACTATCCCTATATCTCCCCATTACATATGTCTAATGTCTACCACCCCTCTCCATCCCCCATTACATCTGTGTAATGTCTACCATCCCTCCACCATTACATCTGTTTAATGTCTACCATCCCCATCCTTCCCCCATTACATCTGTGTAATGTCTACCATCCCTCCACCGTTACATCTGTGTTATGTCTACCATCCATCCTCACTCCCCCCATTACATCTGTTTAATGTCTACCATCGCCATCCTTCCCCCATTACATCTGTGTAATGTCTACCATCCCTCCACCGTTACATCTGTGTTATGTCTACCATCCATCCCCACTCCCCCCATTACATCTGTTTAATGTTTACCATCCCCATCATTCCCCATCACATGTGTAATGTTTGCCACCTTATAACGAGGACGTCGCGTGCCTTATTTTACTTTTAGCTGTGTGTATGTGCGGGGTGGGGGGGGGGGTCGTACAGGGAGGCGTGATATTATTAGATGCCAGGAGGGGGGCGGACACTCGCTCGCTTGAAGTAGTTTTCTTGTTCTCTCATGTTTATTTTTAGAACTTTCCCTATCGAAAATCCGGCCATTTTTCTCAGGACTGCAATCGTCTTTTTCAAATCCTTTTGAAGTCAGGAGTAAATTTGGCCAGATTTAACTAATCGATTGAGTTGATTGCTTGTGGCGCTAAATCTGGCACCACTCAAAGGCTCGCTAATGGCTGGAGATAACACGCCCCCCGGATAGGATCCATTGTGGATGGTGATGGATCTAAATCTGTGGCCGTCAAATGTTCGGCCTGCCACTACCTGTTGGTTGTGGCTGTCAAATGGGTGTCCAGGTTATACGAATTGTGTCCGTTGGTGTCTAGGTTAGACAAATTGTGTCTGTTGATGTTGTAACTACTGGTGATGTTGGAACTACTGGTGATGTTGGAACTACTGGTGATGTTGGAACTACTGGTGATGTTGGAACTACTGGTGGGTGGTGATGTTGGAACTACTGGTGATGTTGGAACTACTGGTGATGTTGTAACTACTGGTGATGTTGGAACTACTGGTGATGTTGGAACTACTGGTGGGTGGTGATGTTGGAACTACTGGTGATGTTGGAACTACTGGTGATGTTGGAACTACTGGTGATGTTGGAACTACTGGTGATGTTGGAACTACTGGTGATGTTGGAACTACTGGTGCGTGGTGATGTTGGAACTACTGGTGGGTGGTGATGTTGGAACTACTGGTGATGTTGGAACTACTGGTGATGTTGGAACTACTGGTGATGTTGGAACTACTGGTGGGTGGTGATGTTGGAACTACTGGTGGGTGGTGATGTTGGAACTACTGGTGATGTTGGAACTACTGGTGATGTTGGAACTACTGGTGATGTTGGAACTACTGGTGGGTGGTGATGTTGGAACTACTGGTGATGTTGGAACTACTGGTGATGTTGGAACTACTGGTGATGTTGGAACTACTGGTGATGTTGGAACTACTGGTGATGTTGGAACTACTGGTGATGTTGGAACTACTGGTGATGTTGGAACTACTGGTGGGTGGTGATGTTGGAACTACTGGTGGGTGGTGATGTTGGAACTACTGGTGATGTTGGAACTACTGGTGATGTTGGAACTACTGGTGATGTTGGAACTACTGGTGATGTTGGAACTACTGGTGGGTGGTGATGTTGGAACTACTGGTGATGTTGGAACTACTGGTGATGTTGGAACTACTGGTGATGTTGGAACTACTGGTGATGTTGGAACTACTGGTGATGTTGGAACTACTGGTGGGTGGTGATGTTGGAACTACTGGTGGGTGGTGATGTTGGAACTACTGGTGATGTTGGAACTACTGGTGATGTTGGAACTACTGGTGGGTGGTGATGTTGGAACTACTGGTGATGTTGGAACTACTGGTGATGTTGGAACTACTGGTGATGTTGGAACTACTGGTGATGTTGGAACTACTGGTGATGTTGGAACCACTGGTGGGTGGTGATGTTGGAACTACTGGTGATGTTGGAACTACTGGTGATGTTGGAACTACTGGTGATGTTGGAACTACTGGTGATGTTGGAACTACTGGTGATGTTGGAACTACTGGTGGGTGGTGATGTTGGAACTACTGGTGCGTGGTGATGAACTATTTGGACTTAGCCTTGCTAACAGAGCTCACACTGACCTTGGCCTTGACGCGGACTTGTGTGGTCCACTTGTGTGGTCCACTTAATGTTGACACCACGGTGCCCCGCCCATACAGCTATAGTATCACGTGACATAGCCCGTCCGTCAACCACTTTAGAAAGTGAAGTTTACTGGCTTGAATGTTTGCATTACGAGACAACCATTTAACCACAATAGCAGGACGTCATGAAACAGTAGACAGGACGTCATGAGACAGTGGGCTGGACGTCATGAGACAGTAGACAGGACGTCATGAGACAGTGGGCAGGACGTCATGAGACAGTGGGCAGGACGTCACTAGACAGTGGGCAGGACGTCATGAGACAGTGGGCAGGACGTCACGAGACAGTGGACAGGACGTCACGAGACAGTGGACAGGACGTCATGAGACAGTGGGCTGGACGTCATGAGACAGTAGACAGGACGTCATGAGGCAGTGGGCAGGACATCATGAGACAGTGGGCAGGACGTCATGAGACAGTGGGCAGGACGTCATGAGACAGTGGGCAGGACGTTATGAGACAATGGGCAGGACGTCATGAGACAGTGGGCAGGACGTTATGAGACAATGGGCAAGACGTCATGAGACAGTGGGCAAGACGTCATGAGACAGTGGGCAGGACGTCATGAGACAGTGGGCAAGACGTCATGAGACAGTGGGCAAGACGTCATGAGACAGTGGGCAGGACGTCATGAGACAGTGGGCAGGACGTCATGAGACAATTGCAGGACGTCATGAGACAGTGGGCAGGACGTCATGAGACAGTGGGCAGGACGTCATGAGACAGTGGGCAGGACGTCATGAGACAGTGGGCAGGACGTCATGAGACAGTGGGCAGGACGTTATGAGACAATGGGCAAGACGTCATGAGACAGTGGGCAAGACGTCATGAGACAGTGGGCAGGACGTCATGAGACAGTGGGCAAGACGTCATGAGACAGTGGGCAGGACGTTATGAGACAGTGGGCAGGACGTCATGAGACAGTGGGCAAGACGTCATGAGACAGTGGGCAGGACGTCATGAGACAGTGGGCAGGACGTCATGAGACAGAAGGCAGGACGTCATGAGACAGTGGGCAGGACGTCATGAGACAGTGGGCAGGACGTCATGAGACAATGGGCAGGACGTCATGAGACAATGGGCAGGACGTCATGAGACAGTAGACAGGACGTCATGAGACAGTAGACAGGACGTCATGAGACAATGGGCAAGACGTCATGAGACAAAAAGCAGGACGTCATGAGACAGTGGGCAGGACGCCATGAGACAGTGGGCAAGACGTTATGAGACAGTGGGCAGGACGTCATGAGACAGAAGGCAGGACGTCATGAGACAGTGGGCAGGACGTCATGAGACAATGGGCAGGACGTCATGAGACAGTGGACAGGACGTCATGAGACAGTAGACAGGACGTTATGAGACAGTGGGCAGGACGTCATGAGACAGTGGACAGGACGTCATGAGACAATGGGCAGGACGTCATGAGACAGTGGACAGGACGTTATGAGACAGTGGGCAGGACGTCATGAGACAGTGGACAGGACGTCATGAGACAATGGGCAGGACGTCATGAGACAGTGGGCAGGACGTTATGAGACAGTGGACAGGACGTTATGAGACAGTGGGCAGGACGTCATGAGACAGTGGGCAGGACGTCATGAGACAATGGGCAGGACGTCATGAGACAATGGGCAGGACGTCATGAGACAGTGGGCAGGACGTTATGAGACAATGGGCAAGACGTCATGAGACAGTGGGCAGGACGTCATGAGACAATGGGCAGGACGTCATGAGACAGTGGGCAGGACGTTATGAGACAATGGGCAAGACGTCATGAGACAGTGGGCAAGACGTCATGAGACAGTGGACAGGACGTCATGAGACAGTGGGCAGGACGTTATGAGACAGTGGGCAGGACGTCATGAGACATGGGCAGGACGTCATGAGACATGGGCAGGACGCCATCAAGTCATCTGGATTACTACGTACTAAACAACTGCTCACGTTCACCCCCCCCCCCCATGATCTAACCTTGTCCAGCTTTCCTTGACCTACTGTCTTACAATAATTGTAACTGAACTTCTCGCGCTATGAATAACCTAACCCTCCGAGCAGATCTCTTCACAATGGTAAACATTGTTGTTGTAAAGGCTGCGACCCCGAGTGTTTGTTGTTTAAGCACTAAATGATACTGCCACAACTACATCGTTGCCAGTTAGTTAACGTTTACATCGGGCTTAAGTCGAGTGGTTCAATGACCCCATTCACATTGGTCAAGTGTTTTCACTCTGCTACCATCACTTATATCTACAATATCAAACATATTATATATATATATATATATATATATATATATATATATATATATATATATATATATATATATATATATATATATATATAAAGAGAGAGAAAGATAGTGAAACATAATACTCTGCTTTGCCTTCGGGTGGAGGGGAGGGGGAGACAATTTGTATACCTTTAGGTAGTGCCACCTCAAATGTTAACTTTTGTATACCTTTAGGTAGTGCCACCTCAAACGATAACTTTTGTATACCTTCAGGTAGTGCCACCTCAAATGTTAACTTTTGTATACCTTTAGGTAGTGCCACCTCAAACGATAACTTTTGTATACCTTTAGGTAGTGCCACCTCAAATGTTAACTTTTGTATACCATCAGGTAGTGCCACCTCAAATGTTAACTTTTGTATACCTTCAGGTAGTGACACCCCGAGGGCCAGTCCAGGCTAAAGGGTTGCTCCTGGCCTGTATACGAGACAACAACCCCTGCATCTTCCTAGAGCCCAAGATCTTGTACAGGTCGGCAGTGGAGGAGGTGCCTGTGGGAGACTACATGTTGCCCCTGTCTAAGGCGGAGGTTGTGTTGGAGGGTAAGTGACTAGTTACCCCTGGGTTGGAGGGTAAGTGACTAGTTAGCTCTTGTGTTGTGTAGGAAGGTAAGTGACTAGTTACCTCATGGGTTGTGTTAGAAGGTAAGTGACTAGTTACCTCTTGTGTTGGAGGGTAAGTGACTAGTTACCTCTTGTGTTGGAGGGTAAGTGACTAGTTACTTCTTATGGAGGGTAAGTGACTAGTTACCTCTTGGGTTGGAGGGTAAGTGACTAGTTACCTCTTGTGTTGGAGGGTAAGTGACTAGTTACCTCTTATGGAGGGTAAGTGACTAGTTACCTCTTGTGTTGGAAGGTAAGTGACTAGTTACCTCTTGTGTTGGAGGGTAAGTGACTAGTTACCTCTAAGGTTGTGTTGGAAGGTAAGTGACTAGTTACCTCTTGTGTTGAAAGGTAAGTGACTAGTTACCTCTTGTGTTGGAGGGTAAGTGACTAGTTACCTCATGGGTTGTGTTGGAAGGTAAGTGACTAGTTACCTCTAGGGTTGTGTTGGAAGGTAAGTGACTAGTTACCCCTGGGTAGGAGGGTAAGTGACTAGTTACCTCTAGGGTTGTGTTGGAAGGTAAGTGACTAGTTACCTCTAGGGTTGTGTTGGAGGGTAAGTGACTAGTTACCTCTAGGGTTGGAAGGTAAGTGACTAGTTACCTCTTGTGTTGGAGGGTAAGTGACTAGTTACCTCTAGGGTTGTGTTGGAGGGTAAGTGACTAGTTACCTCACGGGTTGGAGGGTAAGTGACTAGTTACCTCATGGGTTGTGTTGGAAGGTAAGTGACTAGTTACCTCATGGGTTGGAGGGTAAGTGACTAGTTACCTCATGGGTTGGAGGGTAAGTGACTAGTTACCTCTAGTGTTGGAGGGTAAGTGACTAGTTACCCCTGGGTTGGAGGGTAAGTGACTAGTTACCTCACGGGTTGGAGGGTAAGTGACTAGTTACCTCATGGGTTGTGTTGGAAGGTAAGTGACTAGTTACCTCATGGGTTGGAGGGTAAGTGACTAGTTACCTCTAAGGTTGTGTTGGAAGATAAGTGACTAGTTACCTCTAGGGTTGTGTTGGAAGGTAAGTGACTAGTTACCTCTAAGGTTGTGTTGGAAGGTAAGTGACTAGTTACCTCTTGTGTTGGAAGGTAAGTGACTAGTTACCTCATGGGTTGTGTTGGAAGGTAAGTGACTAGTTACCTCTTGTGTTGGAAGGTAAGTGACTAGTTACCTCTTGTGTTGGAAGGTAAGTGACTAGTTACCTCTAGGGTTGTGTTGGAAGGTAATTGACTAGTTACCTCATGGGTTGTGTTGGAAGGTAAGTGACTAGTTACCTCTTGTGTTGGAAGGTAATTGACTAGTTACCTCTAGGATTGTGTTGGAGGGTAAGTGACTAGTTACCTCTTGTGTTGGAAGGTAATTGACTAGTTACCTCTAGGGTTGTGTTGGAGGGTAAGTGACTAGTTACCTCATGGGTTGTGTTGGAAGGTAAGTGACTAGTTACCTCTTGTGTTGGCGGGTAAGTGACTAGTTACCTCATGGGTTGTGTTTGAAGGTCAGCGACTAGTTAGCTCTTGGTTACTAGCGTGGGGTAACTTTATCAGGTGACTAACGTGTGGTGGCTTGGTCAAACTGTTGGTTACTAGCGTGTGGTGACTTGATCAAACTGTTGGTTACTAGCGTGGGGTGACTTGATCAAACTGTTGGTTACTAGCGTGGGGTGACTTGATCAAACTGTTGGTTACTAGCGTGTGGTGACTTGATCAAACTGTTGGTTACTAGCGTGGGGTGACTTGATCAAACTGTTGGTTACTAGCGTGTGGTGACTTGATCAAACTGTTGGTTACTAGCGTGTGGTGACTTGATCAAACTGTTGGTTACTAGCGTGTGGTGACTTGATCAAACTGTTGGTTACTAGCGTGTGGTGACTTGATCAAACTGTTGGTTACTAGCGTGTGGTGACTTGATCAAACTGTTGGTTACTAGCGTGGGGTGACTTGATCAAACTGTTGGTTACTAGCGTGGGGTGACTTGATCAAACTGTTGGTTACTAGCGTTGGGTGACTTGATCAAACTGTTGGTTACTAGCGTGGTGACTTGATCAAACTGTTGGTTACTAGCCTAAACTGTGTTGTTCGAGTCCGATAAATCTTGCTCTAGTAATGCCTGTATGAAAGGGAGGTAATTTATTGCCTGATGGGGGACGTCAGAAGTATGCGGACTAGTCGCCATTTTCCAGACAGGGGCTTTTGACCGGATTTAGTTTGACAAGGTCTTCAAAGGATGGGGAAGTACTAGCGATCAGTTATATACAGGCAAAAGTAGTCCATCGACTAGCTGCAGGCAAAAGTAGTCCATCAAGTAGGTACAGGCAAAAGTAGTCCATCAACTAGCTACAGGCAAAAGTAGTCCATCAACTAACTACAGGCAACTAAAGTTCATTTTGTTTAGAATTGTTGTACAGCAGAACTCTGGTATAAATAAGATTGTTGAGTGATCCTTTTGGAGCATGTCCAGACCAGCCGTTAAACCTTGGTCTACTTGTCTGCTTCACCCCCCCCCCCCCCCGTCTGCAGCTTTCTGCTTCAGGAATTGTCTCAGGAGAGGCATTTATTTCAACTGTACCAGCACTCACCCACACATCCATACAGTACTCACCCCCACATACAGTACTCACACACATACATACAGTACCCACAAACACATACAGTACTCACCCCCAAATACTGTTCTCACCCCCACATCCACTACTCACACACACATACCAGACGCACACACACCCATACAGTACTCACACACCCCCATACAGTACTCACACACCCCCATACAGTACTCACCCCCACATACAGTACTCACACACACACACCCATACAGTACTCACCCCCACATACAGTACTCACACACACACACCCATACAGCACTCCCACACACCCATTCAGTACTTTCTCACACACACACACACATACTGATACTCACTCCCCCCATCACTCCACTACTTACCCCTACACCCAGACCATTGTGCTCCGTGTAGAAAATAGATTTGGAGCCAAATTCGTCATCTACCTTAGCACAGAATTGACTCCAACCTCAACCTACCCCATAGGCCCTAGTTCCCACAAGTTCCCAAATGACAGGAGCACCCACACCCACAAGTTCCCAAATGACAGGAGCACCCACACCCACAAGTTCCCAAATGACAGGAGCACCCACAAGTTCCCAAATGACAGGAGCACCCACAAGTTCCCAAATGACAGGAGCACCGCAAGTTCCCAAATGTCAGGAGCACCCACAAGTTCCCAAATGACAGGAGCACCCACAAGTTCCCAAATGACAGGGGCACCCACAAGTTCCCAAATAACAGTAACACCCACGTTGTAAACTAACCCCTGCCTATGATTGATCTCAATATTAGTTCGCCTATGGCAAGACAGCTGTTGAATCAATAAGACACAGGACGTTGATGTGTTCGTCATCACGCATCTATCCAGAGTCACACCGACCTAATTCATGGCCAACACTGGCCGCTTATGGCCACTGATGGACGGTTAGACCAGCTGTGTGGTGTGTGACGTACCTAGTTGATGGACGGTTAGACCTGCTGTGGTGTGACGTACCTAGTTGATGGACGGTTAGACCTGCTGTGTGGTGTGTGGCGTACCTAGTTGATGGACGGTTAGACCTGTGTGGTGTGGCGTACCTAGTTGATGGACGGTTAGACCTGCTGTGGTGTGACGTACCTAGTTGATGGACGGTTAGACCTGCTGTGTGATGTGACGTACCTAGTTGATGGACGGTTAGACCTGCTGTGGTGTGACGTACCTAGTTGATGGACGGTTAGACCTGCTGTGTGGTGTGACGTACCTAGTTGATGGACGGTTAGACCTGCTGTGTGGTGTGACGTACCTAGTTGATGGACGGTTAGACCTGTTGTGTGGTGTGTGACGTACCTAGTTGATGGACGGTTAGACCTGCTGTGTGGTGTGTGACGTACCTAGTTGATGGACGGTTAGACCTGCTGTGTGGTGTGACGTACCTAGTTGATGGACGGTTAGATCTGTATGTTGTAACGTACCTAAAGCCTCTCAAAAAATGTCAATAATAAAAACGGCCATAAAATAGACAGTATGACGTCACGAACCGTGTAAGTACCAATACTGTGTGTTTATGACATCTATTGACGTCACGCAGGCCAATCGAGCATAATATTGTACAGTAGGTTAGGTCAAACAGTTGTACAGTAGGCTGGTCAGACAGTTGTACAGTAGGCTGGTTAGACAGTTGTAGGCTGGTCAGACAGTTGTACAGTAGGCTGGTCAGACAGTTGTACAGTAGGTTGGTCAGACAGTTGTACAGTAGGTTGGTCAGACAGTTGTACAGTAGGCTGGTCAGACAGTTGTACAGTAGGCTGGTCAGACAGTTGTACAGTAGGCTGGTCAGACAGTTGTACAGTAGGCTGGTCAGACAGTTGTACAGTAGGCTGGTCAGACAGTTGTACAGTAGGCTGGTCAGACAGTTGTACAGTAGGCTGGTCAGACAGTTGTACAGTAGGCTGGTCAGACAGTTGTACAGTAGGCTGGTCAGACAGTTGTACAGTAGGTTGGTCAGACAGTTGTACAGTAGGCTGGTCAGACAGTTGTACAGTAGGCTGGTCAGACAGTTGTTGTCACTTTGTACTATAAACTGTCGCAGAGACAGGGTAGTTTCAGATTGGCTAGTGTCAGTGACAGATGGGCTAGTGTCAGTGACAGATGGGCCAGTGTCAGTGACAAATGGGCTAGTGTCAGTGACAGATTGGCTAGTGTCAGTGACAGATTGGCTAGTGTCAGTGAGTGCCATTCGGGCCAGTTTTGAGCTGGGTGTGGAGATTTTGTTGATCCAACCCCGACATGACCTAGATCTAGCACCCAACAGTTCCTGATTTTGTTGATCCAACCCCGACATGACCTAGATCTAGCACCCAACAGTTCCTGATTTTGTTGATCCAACCCCGACATGACCTAGATCCAACCCCGACATGACCTAGATCTAGCTCCCAACAGTTCCTGATTTTGTTGATCCAACCCCGACATGACCTAGATCTAGCTCCCAACAGTTCCTGATTTTGTTGATCCAACCCCGACATGACCTAGATCTAGCTCCCAACAGTTCCTGATTTTGTTGATCCAACCCCGACATGACCTAGATCTAGCACCCAACAGTTCCTGATTTTGTTGATCCAACCCCGACATGACCTAGATCTAGCACCCAACAGTTCCTGATTTTGTTTATCTCCAGGCACAGACGTGACCTTGATAGGGTGGGGCACCCAGGTGCACGTGCTAAAGGAGGTGGCGGGGCTGGCGCAGCAAAAACTCAACGTCTCGTGTGAGGTCATTGACCTACGCACGGTTCTACCCTGGGATAGAGATACTATAATGCAGGTGGGTAGTTCTAGAACATTTGGTATACAGGTGGGTAGAACTAGAACATTTGGTAGAACAGGTGGGTAGTTCTAGAACATTTGGTAGTACAGGTGGGTAGTTCTAGAACATATGGTAGTACATGTGGGTAGTTCTAGAACATTTGGTAGTACAGGTGGGTAGAACTAGAACATTTGGTAGTACAGGTGGGTAGTTCTAGAACATATGGTAGTACAGGTGGGTAGTTCTAGAACATATGGTAGTACAGGTGGGTAGTTCTAGAACATTTGGTAGAACAGGTGGGTAGTTCTAGAACGTTTGGTAGTACAGGTGGGTAGAACTAGAACATTTGGTAGTACAGGTGGGTAGAACTAGAACATATGGTAGTACAGGTGGGTAGTTCTAGAACATATGGTAGTACAGGTGGGTAGTTCTAGAACGTTTGGTAGTACAGGTGGGTAGAACTAGAACATTTGGTAGTACAGGTGGGTAGTTCTAGAACATTTGGTAGTACATGTGGGTAGTTCTAGAACATATGGTAGTACAGGTGGGTAGTTCTAGAACATTTGGTAGTACAGGTGGGTAGGTCTAGAACATTTGGTAGTACAGGTGGGTAGTTCTAGAACATTTGGTAGAACAGGTGGGTAGAACTAGAACATTTGGTAGTACAGGTGGGTAGAACTAGAACATTTGGTAGTTCATGTGGGTAGTTCTAGAACATTTGGTAGTACAGGTGGGTAGTTCTAGAACATTTGGTAGTACACGTGGGTAGTTCTAGAACATTTGGTAGTACAGGTGGGTAGTTCTAGAACATTTGGTAGTACAGGTGGGTAGTTCTAGAACATTTGGTCGTACTTGTGAGTAGTTCTAGAACATTTGGTCGTACAGGTGGGTAGTTCTAGAACATTTGGTAGAACAGGTGGGTAGAACTAGAACATTTGGTAGTACATGTGGGTAGTTCTAGAACATTTGGTAGTACAGGTGGGTAGAACTAGAACATTTGGTAGTACAGGTGGGTAGTTCTAGAACATTTGGTAGTACAGGTGGGTAGTTCTAGAACATTTGGTGGAACATAATGCAGGTGGGTAGTTCTAGAACATTTGGTAGTACTTGTGGGTAGTTCTAGAACATTTGGTAGAACAGGTGGGTAGTTCTAGAACATTTGGTAGTACTTGTGGGTAGTTCTAGAACATTTGGTAGAACAGGTGGGTAGTTCTAGAACATTTGGTAGAACAGGTGGGTAGTTCTAGAACATTTGGTAGTACATGTGGGTAGTTCTAGAACATTTGGTAGTACAGGTGGGTAGTTCTAGAACATTTGGTAGTACACGTGGGTAGTTCTAGAACATTTGGTAGAACAGGTGGGTAGAACTAGAACATTTGGTAGTACAGGTGGGTAGTTCTAGAACATCTGGTAGTACAGGTGGGTAGTTCTAGAACATTTGGTAGAACAGGTGGGTAGAACTAGAACATTTGGTAGTACAGGTGGGTAGTTCTAGAACATTTGGTAGCACAGGTGAGTAGTTCTAGAACATTTGGTAGTACAGGTGGGTAGTTCTAAAACATTTGGTAGTACAGGTGGGTAGTTCTAGAACATTTGGTAGTACAGGTGGGTAGTTCTAGAACATTTGGTAGTACATGTGGGTAGTTCTAGAACATTTGGTAGCACAGGTGGGTAGTTCTAGAACATTTGGTAGAACAGGTGGGTAGAACTAGAACATTTGGTAGTACATGTGGGTAGTTCTAGAACATTTGGTAGTACATGTGGGTAGTTCTAGAACATTTGGTAGTACAGGTGGGTAGTTCTAGAACATTTGGTAATACAGGTGGGTAGTTCTAGAACATTTGGTAGTACAGGTGGGTAGTTCTAAAACATTTGGTAGTACAGGTGGGTAGTTCTAGAACATTTGGTAATACAGGTGGGTAGTTCTAGAACATTTGGTAGCACATGTGGGTAGAACTAGAACATTTGGTGGTACAGGTGGGTAGAACTAGAACATTTGGTAGTACATGTGGGTAGTTCTAGAACATTTGGTAGAACATAATGCAGGTGGGTAGTTCTAGAACATTAGAGAAATGAAAGTATCATAAATTATCTGGTCACCTTCTTATAATATCAGTATAACATCAGACAAATATGTGACGTATAATATCAGAAAAATCTATTTAAAGTATAACATCAGAACAATTTATGTAAAGAATAGCATCAGACAAATCTATGTAAAGTATAACATCAGACAAATATGTAACGTATAATATCAGAAAAATCTATTTAAAGTATAACATCAGAACAATTTATGTAAAGAATAGCATCAGACAAATCTATGTAAAGTATAACATCAGACAAATCTATGTAAAGTATAACATCAGAAAAATCTATTTAAAGTATAACATCAGAACAATTTATGTAAAGTATAACATCAGACAAATCTATGTAAAGAATAACATCAGACAAATCTATGTAAAGTATAACATCAGACAAATCTATGTAAAGTATAAGATCAGAAAAATCTATTTAAAGTATATCATCAGAACAATTTATGTAAAGTATAACATCAGACAAATCTATGTAAAGTATAACATCAGAGAAATCTATGTAAATTATATCATCAGAACAATTTATGTAAAGTATAACATCAGACAAATCTATGTAAAGTATAACATCAGAACAATTTATGTAAAGTATAACATCAGAACAATTTATGTAAAGTATAACATCAGAACATTCTATGTAAAGTATAACATCAGACAAATCTATGTAAAGTATAACATCAGACAAATCTATGTAAAGTATAACATCAGACAAATCTATGTAAAGTATAACATCAGAACAATCTATGTAAAGTATAACATCAGAACAATGTATGTAAAGTATAACATCTGACAAATTTATGTAAAGTATAACATCAGACAAATCTATGTAAAGTATAACATCAGACAAATCTATGTAAAGTATAACATCAGAACAATCTATGTAAAGTATAACATCAGACAAATTTATGTAAAGTATAACATCAGACAAATCTATGTAAAGTATAACATCAGACAAATCTATGTAAAGTATAACATCAGACAAATCTATGTAAAGTATAACATCAGACAAATCTATGTAAAGTATAACATCAGACAAATCTATGTAAAGTATAACATCAGACAAATCTATGTAAAGTATAACATCAGACAAATCTATGTAAAGTATAACATCAGAACAATCTATGTAAAGTATAACATCAGACAAATCTATGTAAAGTATAACATCAGACAAATCTATGTAAAGTATAACATCAGACAAATCTATGTAAAGTATAACATCAGACAAATCTATGTAAAGTATAACATCAGAACAATCTATGTAAAGTATAACATCAGACAAATCTATGTAAAGTATAACATCAGACAAATCTATGTAAAGTATAACATCAGACAAATCTATGTAAAGTATAACATCAGACAAATCTATGTAAAGTATAACATCAGAACAATCTATGTAAAGTATAACATCAGACAAATCTATGTAAAGTATAACATCAGACAAATCTATGTAAAGTATAACATCAGACAAATCTATGTAAAGTATAACATCAGACAAATCTATGTAAAGTATAACATCAGACAAATCTATGTAAAGTATAACATCAGAACAATTTATGTAAAGAATAGCATCAGACAAATCTATGTAAAGTATATCATCAGAACAATTTATGTAAAGTATAACATCAGACAAATCTATGTAAAGTATATCATCAGAACAATTTATGTAAAGTATAACATCAGAACAATCTATGTAAAGTATAACATCAGAACAGTTTATGTAAAGTATAACATAAGAGAAATCTTTGTAAAGTATAACATCAGACAAATCTATGTAAAGTATAACATCAGACAAATCTATGTAAAGTATAACATCAGAACAGTTTATGTAAAGTATAACATAAGAGAAATCTTTGTAAAGTATAACATCAAACAAATCCCCATCATGTTTGCTTGTTGTTTCAGTCTGTGAAGAAAACAGGGCGTGTCCTAATTTCCCATGAGGCGCCCATTACTATGGGGTTTGGTGCTGAGCTAGCAGCCTCTATTCAGGTCAGTCCAATTGATGGCTCCTTCAGATGGTACTGTGTTGTGTTTCTTGGTGTCCCTTGTGCGCTAGTCAGTCGTGTAGAATGGTGAGACATACATGTCACCCGTAGAATGGTGAGACATACGTGTCACCCGTAGAATGGTGAGACCTGTTGATTAGTGAGACCGACATGTGACCTGTAAATTTGAGAGACCTACGTGTGACCTGTTGAATGGTGTAGATTGGTGAGACCTACATATGGCCGTAGATTGATGTGACCTGTAGAATGACGAAACCTACATGTGACATGTAGATTGATGAGACCTAAATTACCTACATGAGATTTGTTATCTACTTTCTCCCCACTCCCCAACTCGGCCAGATAACTTATCTGATAACTAGCGGTCACCATCGACATCACGTGATACAAAGCTTTGATCAGCCAGGGACCGTGGGTCTAGATGGGACCATTGGCAGGGAACATGGGTGTCTATATGGGACCATTGACAGGGAACATGGGTGTCTATATGGGACCATTGACAGGGAACATGGGTGTCTACATGGGACCATTGGCAGGGAACATGGGTGCCTAAATTGGGCCATTAACAGGGAACACGGGTGTCTATATGGGACCATTGACAGGGAACATGGGTGTCTACATGGGACCATTGGCAGGGAACATGGGTGCCTAAATTGGGCCATTAACAGGGAACACGGGTGTCTATATGGGACCATTGACAGGGAACATTGTTGTTTTGTCTGACTTTGAACTGTGACAGGGAACATTGTTGTGTTGTCTGACTTTGAACTGTGACAGGGAACATTGTTGAGCTGTCTGACTTTGAACTGTGACAGGGAACTGTGACAGGGACCATTGTTGAGCTGAGTGTAACACGTATCTCCCCACAGCAAGAATGTTTCCTCCACCTGGAGGCGCCCATTGAGCGGGTGTGTGGCTACGACACGCCCTTCCCCCACGTGTACGAGGTGTTCTACATGCCGGACAAGTGGAGGTGTATAGAGGCCATCAAAAAACTTGTTAGTTTCTGATTCATGCACAGACTTGGTTGGTTGGGACAGTGGATCCGCTGATGGCTGGTTCACCTGGTAGTGATGTATAAACCAGTGGTTTTATCGTGTGGATGTCTTGTAAAATTGATGTGTGATTATAATTAATGTCAACTTGATATTTTGTTTGTAAATAGAAACCCAGTTGCGAGATTCAATATGAGAGCATGAGGTAAAGGAGATATTTGGCTGTACACGAGGAGGTACTGGGTGGTTGATGACCTACTTGTTAGGTGGTCAGCTGTTGACCTACTTGTTAGGTGGTCAGCTGGCAGCTAGATATGGCTGCAGTGGCTGTAGGTCAAGCCTGGTCACTCCAAGCTGTGTGGGTCAGCTGCTCTTGGTGCGATGTAATGTTCTATACCAGATTTTATGTATTTCTTTTGTTGCTGTATCTCCGTCTTGATGGGTAGTGTCGCCTCTACCCCAGCTGGGGTAGTGTCGCCACTACCCCATCTAGGGTAGTGTCGCCTCTACCCCATCTAGGGTAGTGTCGCCTCTACCCCATCTAGGGTAGTGTCGCCTCTACCCCATCTAGGGTAGTGTCGACTCTACCCCATCTAGGGTAGTGTCGCCTCTACCCCATATAGGGTAGTGTTGCCTCTACCCCATCTAGGGTAGTGTCGCCTCTATCCTAGCTAGGGTAGTGTCGCTAACTGAAGGTATTGTGTTATTGTTATTATTCCTGTAAACCAAACCTTACATAAACAAAGCTAAGAACTATTGTACTTGGTGTGGTATCGCCTCCCACTAAGTCTATTGGACAACTCATGATGTTCAACATCCTTGACCAGAGTGGCACTAGAATGACCATAAGAGTTGTGACCTAGATAGATGCTCCCCCTGATAGCAGCTGTGATGAAAGCTTGTCCACATCCAACAGGGTCACTTGTTTTATGTTCAACATTGAGAACTCATTCTCGCTTATCCAGAAATATTTTCAAACTTGCAACACTAAATATGGAGGTTTTATTCTCGCTTATTCAGAAATATTTACAAACCTAAAACATTAAACATGTACATAGTCATTTGGTGTTCATTGTTCATCATTCAATCGTCTGTCACTAGCCATTCACAAGCCATTCACTCACCATTCAGTCATCCATCATTCAGCCTCCTTGGTGGGTTTGGGGAGGGGGGGGGAGCGGTGGGTGGTGAATATGGCAGGTTATAACAACTGTGGCTAAAACCAGGTGAGTATGTACTCATGTCAAGCCAGGACCTGGTTGATTTGTGTACTCACGTTGTCAAGTCAGGACCTAGACAGCAGACAAAACCATCAGTTTAATGACCTAAACCTGGTTGATTTGTGTTGATTGAGAACACAATCTGAATCGTTCCCTGTTGTGTCATGGACTACATGTGTATAACTTAGTACACGTTGACACTACATTACAGATGGCTGGGTCTCCGATGACAACACAAGGATATCTAAGTTTACAGTGGAAGAAATTAGCCTTACCTAAATAAACTGTTTTGAGTGGCGCAGGGAGAGAAGTCGCGAGACAACTAATCTTAGAGAGAACTTGTTCACTGACTAGAGACGATCACAACGGGCAGAATATTCCCAAGGGGAGGGGAAAAAACATGGTGCATTAGGATCAGTAACATTACTAACATTACTGTTAAGATCTTAGCAAAAATAGCTTCGAATTTAAATTAAATGCTCAAATGATGGCATTAGACACGTGCGTCAACTAGCCCCTATGTAATTTTGTGATGGTGATTAGTCTTTGATTGCTACAGGGTTTATTGGGTGAGCATTAGACACGTGCGTCAACTGTGTAATTTTGTGATGGTATCATGGTGATTAGTCTGATTGCTACAGGGTTTATTGGGTGAGCATTAGACACGTGCGTCAACTAGCCCCTGTGTAATTTTGTGATGGTGATTAGTCTGGTTGCTACAGGGTTTATTGGGTGAGCATTAGACACGTGCGTCAACTAGCCCCTGTGTAATTTTCTGATGGTGATTAGTCTTTGATTGCTACAGGGTTTATTGGGTGAGCATTAGACACGTGCGTCAACTAGCCCCTGTGTAATTTTGTGATGGTGATTAGTCTTTGATTGCTACAGGGTTTATTGGGTGAGCATTAGACACGTGCGTCAACTAGCCCCTGTGTAATTTTGTGATGGTGATTAGTCTGATTGCTACAGGGTTTATTGGGTGAGCATTAGACACGTGCGTCAACTAGCCCCTGTGTAATTTTGTGATGGTGATTAGTCTTTGATTGCTACAGGGTTTATTGGGTGAGCATTAGACACGTGCGTCAACTAGCCCCTGTGTAATTTTGTGATGGTGATTAGTCTTTGATTGCTACAGGGTTTATTGGGTGAGCATTAGACACGTGCGTCAACTGTGTAATTTTGTGATGGTGATTAGTCTGATTGCTACAGGGTTTATTGGGTGAGCATTAGACACGTGCGTCAACTAGCCCCTGTGTAATTTTGTGATGGTGATTAGTCTGATTGCTACAGGGTTTATTGGGTGAGCATTAGACACGTGCGTCAACTAGCCCCTGTGTAATTTTGTGATGGTGATTAGTCTTTGATTGCTACAGGGTTTATTGGGTGAGCATTAGACACGTGCGTCAACTAGCCCCTGTGTAATTTTGTGATGGTGATTAGTCTTTGATTGCTACAGGGTTTATTGGGTGAGCATTAGACACGTGCGTCAACTAGCCCCTGTGTAATTTTGTGATGGTGATTAGTCTGATTGCTACAGGGTTTATTGGGTGAGCATTAGACACGTGCGTCAACTAGCCCCTGTGTAATTTTGTGATGGTGATTAGTCTGATTGCTACAGGGTTTATTGGGTGAGCATTAGACACGTGCGTCAACTAGCCCCTGTGTAATTTTGTGATGGTGATTAGTCTGATTGCTACAGGGTTTATTGGGTGAGCATTAGACACGTGCGTCAACTAGCCCCTGTGTAATTTTGTGATGGTGATTAGTCTGATTGCTACAGGGTTTATTGGGTGAGCATTACACACGTGCGTCAACTAGCCCCTGTGTAATTTTGTGATGGTGATTAGTCTGATTGCTACAGGGTTTATTGGGTGAGCATTAGACACGTGCGTCAACTAGCCCCTGTGTAATTTTGTGATGGTGATTAGTCTGATTGCTACAGGGTTTATTGGGTGAGCATTAGACACGTGCGTCAACTAGCCCCTGTGTAATTTTGTGATGGTGATTAGTCTGATTGCTACAGGGTTTATTGGGTGAGCATTAGACACGTGCGTCAACTAGCCCCTGTGTAATTTTGTGATGGTGATTAGTCTTTGATTGCTACAGGGTTTATTGGGTGAGCATTAGACTCGTGCGTCAACTAGCCCCTGTGTAATTTTGTGATGGTGATTAGTCTTTGGTTGCTACAGGGTTTATTGGGTGAGCATTAGACACGTGCGTCAACTAGCCCCTGTGTAATTTTGTGATGGTGATTAGTCTGATTGCTACAGGGTTTATTGGGTGAGCATTAGACACGTGCGTCAACTAGCCCCTGTGTAATTTTGTGATGGTGATTAGTCTGATTGCTACAGGGTTTATTGGGTGAGCATTAGACACGTGCGTCAACTGTGTAATTTTGTGATGGTGATTAGTCTGATTGCTACAGGGTTTATTGGGTGAGCATTAGACACGTGCGTCAACTAGCCCCTGTGTAATTTTGTGATGGTGATTAGTCTGATTGCTACAGGGTTTATTTGGTGAGCATTAGACACGTGCGTCAACTAGCCCCTGTGTAATTTTGTGATGGTGATTAGTCTTTGGTTGCTACAGGGTTTATTGGGTGAGCATTACACACGTGCGTCAACTAGCCCCTGTGTAATTTTGTGATGGCGATTAGTCTTTGGTTGCTACAGGGATTATTGGGTGAGCATTAGACACGTGCGTCAACTAGCCCCTGTGTAATTTTGTGATGGCGATTAGTCTTTGGTTGCTACAGGGTTTATTGGGTGAGCATTAGACACGTGCGTCAACTAGCCCCTGTGTAATTTTGTGATGGTGATTAGTCTTTGGTTGCTACAGGGTTTATTGGGTGAGCATTAGACACGTGCGTCAACTAGCCCCTGTGTAATTTTGTGATGGTGATTAGTCTTTGGTTGCTACAGGGTTTATTGGGTGAGCATTAGACACGTGCGTCAACTAGCCCCTGTGTAATTTTGTGATGGTGATTAGTCTTTGATTGCTACAGGGTTTATTGGGTGAGCATTAGACACGTGCGTCAACTAGCCCCTGTGTAATTTTGTGATGGTGATTAGTCTGATTGCTACAGGGTTTATTGGGTGAGCATTAGACACGTGCGTCAACTAGCCCCTGTGTAATTTTGTGATGGTGATTAGTCTTTGATTGCTACAGGGTTTATTGGGTGAGCATTAGACACGTGCGTCAACTAGCCCCTGTGTAATTTTGTGATGGTGATTAGTCTGATTGCTACAGGGTTTATTGGGTGAGCATTAGACACGTGCGTCAACTAGCCCCTGTGTAATTTTGTGATGGTGATTAGTCTTTGATTGCTACAGGGTTTATTGGGTGAGCATTAGACACGTGCGTCAACTGTGTAATTTTGTGATGGTGATTAGTCTGATTGCTACAGGGTTTATTGGGTGAGCATTAGACACGTGCGTCAACTAGCCCCTGTGTAATTTTGTGATGGTGATTAGTCTGATTGCTACAGGGTTTATTGGGTGAGCATTAGACACGTGCGTCAACTAGCTCTGTGTAATTTTGTGATGGTGATTAGTCTGATTGCTACAGGGTTTATTGGGTGAGCATTAGACACGTGCGTCAACTAGCCCCTGTGTAATTTTGTGATGGTGATTAGTCTTTGGTTGCTACAGGGTTTATTGGGTGAGCATTAGACACGTGCGTCAACTAGCCCCTGTGTAATTTTGTGATGGTGATTAGTCTTTGATTGCTACAGGGTTTATTGGGTGAGCATTAGACACGTGCGTCAACTGTGTAATTTTGTGATGGTGATTAGTCTGATTGCTACAGGGTTTATTGGGTGAGCATTAGACACGTGCGTCAACTAGCCCCTGTGTAATTTTGTGATGGTGATTAGTCTGATTGCTACAGGGTTTATTGGGTGAGCATTAGACACGTGCGTCAACTAGCCCCTGTGTAATTTTGTGATGGTGATTAGTCTTTGATTGCTACAGGGTTTATTGGGTGAGCATTAGACACGTGCGTCAACTAGCCCCTGTGTAATTTTGTGATGGTGATTAGTCTTTGATTGCTACAGGGTTTATTGGGTGAGCATTAGACACGTGCGTCAACTAGCCCCTGTGTAATTTTGTGATGGTGATTAGTCTGATTGCTACAGGGTTTATTGGGTGAGCATTAGACACGTGCGTCAACTAGCCCCTGTGTAATTTTGTGATGGTGATTAGTCTGATTGCTACAGGGTTTATTGGGTGAGCATTAGACACGTGCGTCAACTAGCCCCTGTGTAATTTTGTGATGGTGATTAGTCTGATTGCTACAGGGTTTATTGGGTGAGCATTACACACGTGCGTCAACTAGCCCCTGTGTAATTTTGTGATGGTGATTAGTCTGATTGCTACAGGGTTTATTGGGTGAGCATTAGACACGTGCGTCAACTAGCCCCTGTGTAATTTTGTGATGGTGATTAGTCTGATTGCTACAGGGTTTATTGGGTGAGCATTAGACACGTGCGTCAACTAGCCCCTGTGTAATTTTGTGATGGTGATTAGTCTGATTGCTACAGGGTTTATTGGGTGAGCATTAGACACGTGCGTCAACTAGCCCCTGTGTAATTTTGTGATGGTGATTAGTCTTTGATTGCTACAGGGTTTATTGGGTGAGCATTAGACACGTGCGTCAACTAGCCCCTGTGTAATTTTGTGATGGTTATTAGTCTTTGGTTGCTACAGGGTTTATTGGGTGAGCATTAGACACGTGCGTCAACTAGCCCCTGTGTAATTTTGTGATGGTGATTAGTCTGATTGCTACAGGGTTTATTGGGTGAGCATTAGACACGTGCGTCAACTAGCCCCTGTGTAATTTTG